TGCTTTTTACTCTTTCTTTTGTCGGAAGACGCTGGGTAGCCATCGGATCGATGCACTTGACGAATGGATGAACGGGGTAGCTTCGGATGCAAGTCTGCGATTCCTTTCTTGGTACCGCAACTATGTTAGAATAGAACGTAGGCGCTTTATTCATCACAGCACCATACGGTAGTCACTTCTAACACACTGGTTGTGCGCGGCTCGGTCCGGTTTGGCGTGGCGTGTGTGGACGGAGGCTCGCGGCGGACGGGATGGACTTTTTCGCCGACTGGGACCTGGAGGAGGAGCAGCAGGAACTCGAGGAAGTGGTAACGTCCCTATCGTGCGGCGGACTTCCGATCGGACCTTCGTAGCCCCGCGCCTAAGCACGCTCGGCCAAGCACCATGCAGTCCGACCCCACATGCCCTGCCAGACCTGCTGCGCATCACCCGTACCACTGCGTTAGCGGCGCTGCCCTCTCGCTCTTTCTCCTCCTCGTGTTGCTCCCGAACCTCGCCATAGCCAGCGCACTGCTCGCTACCTGCCTTTCCGAACAGGTCTTTCTGCGCCTTCCTGCCAAACGCTCTGCACTGCTGACCGGAAGCACTATCGGCTTCCTGTCACTCTTCCTCGCATGCTGCTGCTGCCTCTTCTTTGAGCTCGGCGCGACGCGGAGGCGTCCGGATTAGACAAAGCATAGCTGCGCGGAGCCAGGGCAATGGAGCATAGGCCGGCAGCCCGAGACTTCGTCATGTGCTTTTTTAGCATTTCTCTCCTTCCTCTCCTTTCTCTACTTCATCCATTCCCTTCCCTATCCCTCGCCACATGAGCCCTTCTCCCCCCTCCTCCCCCCTCCCCTTCCCCCGGAAAAACTCCCTCATCGCCCTCAAAACCAACCTTCATCCCTGAACCTTCATCCCTGAACCATCACTCCCCATCTCCTTCCAAAGATCATGGAAGATGTCCCCCCCTCTGATGACGCCCCACGCGGCATGGGGCAGAAAAGCGCTTCAGGGCTTTGCCACGCCCTTCCCGCATTCTCGGCGAGATGATCCGCGCAGATACAGAGGCGTCTTGGATCTGGAGGATAGAGCTGAGGCGGGATTATCCCTTCCTTCCCCCCTTCCCTCACTCCACAAACATACCCCACCAACCCCTTCCCGCACTCGTCCTCCTCCTCCTTTCCCTCCTCCCTATCCCCTGTTTCGGGTCGACGACACTATCACGGGAGACTATTTTTTTACGAATAATAAGTTTGCTTGATCTTTTAGTTGCGATACGCTCTTGTATAATCCTCTCACCCTTCTCTCGCCTCTCTGCTCTTTTCTTCTTCTCTTTCTCTCTCTCCTCCTTTTTTTGCGCTCTTCCGATTTCTTTCTCCCTTTCCGATTCACTGGACTGGTCTTATACTCTCCTCTTCCTTTTGCGTTATTTTTCCGCTCGCTGCGTTTCTCCGTCTCTTCCTTCTCCCTTTCCCCTTGTATTGGTTAATGCAGTAATGGTCACTGATTTGGGTTCTCGCTCACCATTAGGATGAATGGATCCGCTTGAGGGATCTTATTTCTTCTGTTGCGCTCTGCGTCAAGTGATCGATGTTTCGCTTTATATGGATGGTGGATGCATTTGTGATTTGTTGTTATAATCAAACTATGCTCGTTCTATGCTTGTGCATTCCTGAATGATGGATGTACTTCTGGGATCCTGCATTCCCGCTATCGCATTTTTTCTGTGTTATTTCTTGTAATTTCAAACCGATTGGCGCATGGCAACCCTCCCCCGAACCCATATCCGTGCTTCGCCACTATCGCCAAAAGAGTGCGGCCTTCGACCATATTGGCCTTAGTTTCCCCATCACAAATGGACGCATGAGTGGTTTTACCTTAGTTTCCCCATCACAAATGGACGCATGAGTGGTTTTACCCCGCCGCTGTGAGATCTTGCCCCTTGCGGTGTTTACCCTGTGCCTAGTGTGCCGGCGGAACGAAGCCGGAGCAGTGCGGGTATGACGTGTCGTACTCGTACAAATCACATGTGACACACACATGCAACACACACACACACACACACACACACACATGCTCTACACACACACACACACACACACACACACACACACACACACACAACAACAACAAAAAAAAAAAGAAAAAAAAAGAAAAGAGGAATCTTAACGACACATCCCAGGCTCGTACTTCCATTTTCCATGCCCATTCTGCTGGAAGATCCACTTCCAGCTTATCTTTCTCCCCTCACTTTGGCTTCAGTGGATTCCCCCCCCCTCCCCCCCTCTGTCACTTATTTTGTACCCTAGTTATAATTCAGTTGTGTATTGTAAAATACTAAAAAT